TTTCCCTTGTTATATTTCATTAAATTAAATTTCATTTAATTTCATTTAATTCATTTTTAAATCATTTCATAATTTTGTCCCAGCACAAGACAATAACATGTCCCCATGTTATTAACCAAGCCACAGGCGCTCATGGGAGCCAGCGCAGCAGTGGCAGAACCCTGCTCGTCACACGGGGTTGCTGATAAAACAACCCCAGCAGCCTGAGAGGACAAAGCTACTGTGTGAAACCCGCTGGCACTGGCCTTGTGAGGAATTTCAGCGCCTGCTTTTTGCCAGCCTGGCCTAAGGGTGGCTGGAGAGCCGGGCTCTGTCACCATGGCTGCGATGGGCACTGAGGCTTTTGGAGCAAACGGAGAGCTATGAAACAGAAAATGCTCAGGACAGCTATAACAGGATTTGACAGCATTTACTCAGCTTCCTGATGCTCTGAAAGAGCAAAACTGCCTGTGATAAGGTGAGGAGGAGGTGGCTGGAGTGGAGGCACAAGGCAGATAACATGTGTAGGTATGTCCACACTCATGTGTGACCCTGATGTCTCCAATTCCTCTCCCTCCTTGTCCTCAACCCCCCCTCTGCAGAGGCAGCCTGTGGTGTTTCCAGGCTTGGGGACTGTCCCTATGGGGTCCGGAGCCTTTGTGCCTCTCACAGGGACAGAGCACGCTGGGACCTCGTCCCACCCTTACCTCACGTCTGCCACCAAAGGCTGTGGAGGCAGCAGGATGATCGTGGCCATCCCCTAATGGCATCAGTCCTATCTAAAGTCAATTCGGAAACACTTAAGAACACTGGGAAAAAGCTGATCTTTTTCTTTTGTTGAATCCCCCAGCTGCAAATACAAAGCAGTGAGCTATATTCTGTGTATTTTACTATGTTATCTTTTTTTTTTGTTCTGGTTTGGAGAAAACATCAAACTAAAATTTCTTTCTGAGGAAAACAACTGCCTCTGGCAACCTGCACTTTAAAGTGTTTGGCGGTCTCTCTTCTCTCTGATTTGATACTCCTGGAAGAAAACACCACTTGTGCTCCGCTTAGAGCCTGCTGGTATTTACACACACCACCCAGCGCTGCTTCCCCAAGCCAGCCTTAGATGCTGGTAGGAAAGCCTGGGAACTATGGGGGTTTTTAAAAAACTAATTTAGACAACCAGTCCTTGGAAAAAGCTTAGAAAATCGCAAAGAGGGTTAAAAAAGGCCAAAAAGAGAACAGGGAGACTGTATTAGGGTTTCCTAGGAAATAGCTTTAATTTGCTGACACTGTGAAGTGTAGAAATGAGAGCAGTTAAGAGATGGGAGAGGGAAACGCCATCACCCTGGCTGCCCCACATCGTCTGCCCTGCTGCTTCTGCCCCCCAACTCCTGGATCCAGATACCACTGCCAGCCCTCAAATCCTGCCAGTTTACATGCAACATGATGTCCTGTGGACACCCTCTGAAAGCCACCCCTCCAGGCTGCTCCCCAACCCCTATTTGATGTGATGCACTATCTGTGAGTGAAATGTGGTGCCGACAGACAGGATCAGATACCTGGGAAGTGCTGGCAGTGATGGGATTTAAACCTTTATCACTCACTTGAGCACTGGACTTTGATCCAGACTGCTCCCCAGCCTGGAAGAAGAGCAAACAAACAGCTCTGGCAGGGCCAGGCAGTGAAACCTGGCAGGGAGTTGCTAAGCAGAGGCTGAACCCCAATGGGGAATGACCCACGAAGAATGAAGGCAACTCTGGAAAATGTGAAATCTGGTAAAATCCATACTTCTGACACAAAGAAATCAGAGAGAAGCTCCGTGCCACGTCTTTGAATGAGGCGGCTCCTGGAGCAAAGTGCTGTGCCCACAGATGCACAGTGATTCACTGCAGCCATGAAAGTCAAGCTGTGAGCAAGTGGAAGCAGAGGGAGGTGGAGCAGCTTGGTTTAAATTTACAATATAGAGACGCAGATGAGGGGGAAAAGTGAGTTGAACTTGTCACCCTCAGATCTGGCAGCTGCAGCCCGTTGTCTACAGCTTGGTGCTGGAGACCCATTAACAGTGGCACCAGCCCAGCGATGGAAACATGATACAACAAAGGCAGGAGGGACAGACTGGCAGAGTAATGGCAATGATGTATGCAGGGATCAAGGCCGATAGGGCCACAGAAAAGAGACCAATAGCTTGAACTCCAATTGTTTTTACACAGGAGAAGGCTCTCGGGCTCCAAGACTCACACATGGAACTGTAGTGAAGGACCAGGACGGACTGGTCCAGAGTTGAGACACCACCTGGACATGAATGCCGCGTTCACCTGCAACGCCTTTTTCCCCGTGGGTTAAATTATGCTGCAGACCCACAGCAGCTTCAAGAGAAGGTATGGGGAGAGGGACAGGCAGAAACAGCATCACTGCCAGGGCAGCATCACCCATCCTCATTTCCTGGAGCAGCACATCCCTGCAGCTCTGGGCACCATGGCACCACCTCCACCGGGTCGAAGCAATGCTGTTTTCCTGCTTTCCTCCTTCCTTTGCCTCCTCCAAGAGATGCCCTGAGCCCTTCTAGGACCTGGGGAGGGGCCATGGATTCACCCCTCTGGCAGGAGCAGGAGAAGAGGGACCAGGCAGGGCTCAGATTTTAAGCAGGGGAGAAGAGGGAGCTCAGGCCCTTTTACATGGCACCACCTCCACCGGGTCGAAGCAATGCTGTTTTCCTGCTTTCCTCCTTCCTTTGCCTCCTCCAAGAGATGCCCTGAGCCCTTCTAGGACCTGGGGAGGGGCCATGGATTCACCCCTCTGGCAGGAGCAGGAGAAGAGGGACCAGGCAGGGCTCAGATTTTAAGCAGGGGAGAAGAGGGAGCTCAGGCCCTTTTATGTTGCTGCCCTGGGCTGTGCCCATGTCCCCCCTCAGCAATGGCACTACAGCACCCTCCCCTTGCCTGGCTGCTGTGATTCCTCTCCTGTGCTTCTTCCCCTCGCTGCCCCTCCTCCTCCTCTCCATCCTGCCTCTGTCCCATCACCGCTTCTGCCTGCTCCTCCCTTCCATGCAGCCATGACAGCCAAATCCAGAGGCAGGCAGCACGGTGAGGCAGTGACCACAGTCTGGGGGGCTCTGGCACCGCTCTGGCGCTGCTGCTCCAACTGATGCTTCCTCTTCCCTAAAAGCTGCCGTGGAGGCAGTTGCTCCCTCCCATGTGCAAGACTGTCCCATGCCTCGGGGAGCTGCAGGCGTCTGTAACCTCTGACATGGCTCTGCCTCTGCGGCAGCTCCCCCCGGAGCCAACCTTCTCTTTGCTCCTCGGCGGCACCTCCCCCAGGAGCCAATCTACTTTTGGCTGTGACAGGGTAGGGAATGCCCAGTCCTGCTGGCCCTGCTGTGCACTCCTGCCATGCACCCATCTTTGATGCTTCATGTAAGTAAATAATGAAGTCTTCCTGTGCCTTGCTGCTGGGAAGCATCCAAGGGGCAGCACAGGATAATTTTGTGGTTTGAGACTATTAAGATATAGTGGCTATAATCTGCAGCATCATCTGCCTCCCATCCACCCAGTCCCGCCGAGGCACCTCTCCCCGCAGACATTTGCTCTTTTGAACTCCCAGCTGAGACCATCACTAACTTATTTCATTCAGTGTTCTGGCAGTGATGACACACTGCTATTCTTCTGAATACCGCTACAGATGAAGGGACGCAACTGTTAGAGGAGTTGAACTGAGTCAAGAGGGAACAGGGCTTTGCTGTCTATAGGCGTCGGTACACATTAAAGCAGCCCTGATGGAGCATATGGGTACACCATTGAGAGAAAAGCTGTACTCACCCTCTCCAGGTCTTGCCTGAGGTGCATGAAGAGCTTTAAGCGTCTGTAGAGAACATCCTGTTCTTGCTGGGCCAAGTTGTCCACCTCATCTGTTTTTGGTGTCAGCAGTGGTTTGTTGGAATTTGCTTTCCTCTTCAGCTTCCAGTATTGGTAGACAAAATCCACCAGTGATTCATTTAAGTCAAGGTTCTCCGCCACCTCTGAAGGCTTCACAAGTTCATAGAAGTCCTCCTCCAGTTGCTGGAGCTTCTGCTTCCGCAGCGTGACCTTCTCCAAGTCCAGCTGGGCTTGGTCAGGCTCTGTCCGTGCCTCCTCGGGCAGCTTGGTGGCACCAGTGCTGTGCTCAAGGCAGAAGGACTTGAACTTCACTTCGTCGTTGTCTGCTAGAATAGTCCGCATGTCGAGGTTGTGGTCGAAGGCGCAGGTGACGTGGAACGCAGTGACGCAGGCGGGCATGGAGCACTGCGGGGAGAAGGACAGGGCTTATGGCAAAGCGTCATAGGTGGGGGGGATGCTTGCTAACTGGACCACAAGGCTCAAGCCTGGCTTGCTACAAAAACTGAGACACCCATCTGAGTGACAACACCTACCATGAAGTGCTGGATGCTCCTCTACAGGTATTCCTTATGGAGGAACACCTGTATTGCCCAAGTCTTACACACACAAGAGCCAGACACCGCAACAACCAAGCAGAAGAAACCCAAGGTTCACTAGATTTCAGCAAGCGCCTTCCACCTTACCTGCTTTAATCCTTCTCTGTGATGGCTCCTGCTCGTCTTTCACCTACCATAAACAGGAGCTTCCAATGGTTCTTCCAACAAGACATATCAACAGCCATAGACAGCAGCACGGGCAACGAGATGCTCAAAGACTGTCATAGAATTTCTCCTGATGGAGAAATCTTCACCTGTATTTCACCCTTGAACTACTCCACTCTGCTACCACATCTAAAGCTAATATCCCGTTTTTATTGAATGCATACAGAACATGTCAAGGTTTATGAGTGAACGTGGTATCTCAGAAGCAGCCAAGACTCCCAGAGCACGATGCCTTTCTCCTCTGGAAATTACATGCCTCTAATAAGCTCCATTAAAATAGACCCCCTCCCCAAAAAAAGACAACTTGGCATATACAAAGCAAAACATCATGAAATGAACTTCTTTCAACTAGTACAGTGGCTAGACTGTTGTCAAAATTGTTATCAGATTCATCATCTAACTATTTCCCTAACTTACCTCATGCTTATATTACTTTGAATCCCAGAGGCAACAAACCCCAGTTTCCTACAGAGAAACCCTCCAGACAGTGCAGTGCCAGTGTCCACATCAGCACCTTCTTCCCCTCTACTCATTAACTGGTTTTTAATGGCTCAGAGTGTCAGGTAATTATGTCAACCATAACCCAAAAGAAATCAGTCTATTCCAGCTGCTAATGGTCAGTTAAACTGCAATAATGAGACATTTTAAGTGGGCTATTACTGTAGGCACCATATTTCAGCATTTGCAGGAGAACTCTTCTTGCAGGAAAAGAAGACGCAGTTGTAGCCTGAAGGATCAGGCAGAGAAAAGTGAAATTTCCTGGATGTTGATGTTTTACTGGGGGTTTTTTGCACTTTAATTCTTCAAAAGAAAAACACATTCTCATAGTAGTTGAGGAACAGACGTTTTATGGCTTTTTATCTTCGTCCCATCAGCTCTGAATTCCTGCTCAGTCACCCAGCGTGTGAACTTTCAACATTGCTGCTTTTAGACATTTTCCCTTGACTTCGTTCAGGAATCCGCTGGTGCTTATGAAAGTGAGAGACTCACGTGGCTGCCAGGGCCAAGAAAAGCGTAGGCAAGTGGTGTCCAAGTCCTTCACTTCCAGGGCTCTCCAGGCCCTGCTCCAAAGCCTCTGAAATCAGCAGAAAGAGCTGGATGCAGCCCCACCATGGCTGAGCCCCGACCTGTACCAGCAGCGATGCTGAGCCCTAACTCCTGCATCACCAAGGGCAAGCAGATTACTAACTCCCACCCCAAGCTTACCCTGTTTAAATATGTCCATTTGGTCCTAATTTTAGCCTGAAATTGCTCATGAAAATAGCTGAGAGGGTGCAGAAATCAGCTCCCTCTGCTGTGCTCGCATGGAGCCTGGCATAAATTTCTACGGCAGAAAAAGCAGACTCACCACCGCCGATGGACTATGTGAGCTAAGGAAAGCCACTCAGTGATGTCCTCTCTCTCCCGTTCCTGCCACCAGTGCTAATAATGGCATTAGCAAAATGGTTGTGGCTTCTGCCAGGACAACGTCCTGCTAACAGGAACGACCGTCACACCACCTTAGGATTAAAATAAATGGAGTGACACCCATCCTGGATCCCTCCTCTGACAGATGGCAAGCGGCGCTTGTCAGAAACTGTGCCCAAAATGCAAATGGAAAATAATTAGGCAGCTCGACTGACAGGACTACAAAGAAAGGTACCTGGCCGGCTATGGCTACCCAAGGACAGTAAACTGGCAATAAAAACACACTGATCCATCCCAGAACGGCACTGGAATGAAGCTTCTTCGTGGGAGGGAGGGATCTGCTACGCAGAATAAATTGGGCTCAAAAAACTGGCACAGCCCCTAAGTCTGCCTCGTCACTGATCACGCTTCGTTATCTTACAGCGTCTTTCATTCAAGGATTTCAGCATACTTTGCTTATCCAAGCAAATCCATTCCCAAACACAACTCAGAGAGAGAGGGTGAAAACTGCACCAGAGATTAATGTGGGGTCTTAATTAGTCCTCAAACCTCTCTTACTGGGATGCAACAGAGGGATGATTTTATTCGCCAAGGAAATTAAAACCGAAGTCTACCAGCTTACACGGTGCTCTGCTGCAGTTTGGGGCCAGAGGGGAAGGAAGCGGCTCCTCCAACAGACCCGCAAGGGGAACTCAGGAAGGAAAAATTAATTACCGGTGCTGAACTCCGGCCAAGCCATCAGCCACAGCACTTCTGCATCCTTACAAAAACTGCCATGTGATTTTTAGTGACCACAGATGGTCTGGATCCTGGTAGCGCTTCTCAGCTGAAACTGGTAATTTTATCATCGCAGGCATCCTAGGGGTTTGCGGGGCTGAGGCAGAGGATGGCGTGGGGGCTGCACGGTGCACACTGCTCTTCCTCCATGTCAAGCTGTGCATTCTCAGGCACAATTGGATGACTGCTCTGGGAACCAGAACATCAGTTATCCCAGTGGATGGGAACCAGTGGCACAAGCAGCTTAAGGGAAGCTGGCAGCAGTGGGCAGAGGAGGGATGGATGAATGAGTGAGCAGGGGACGACATTTACCAGGGCTTTTTCTCCAAAAAACAACAACAAAAAGCAAGCTGGAAGATGATGACAGGAAAAAGATGATGCCCTTTGGAGAAGCCTGCCAGCACCAAAGAGAGACCTGGCATTTTGCGCTGTGTTGAAAGGCCTTGGTGAGCTTTGCCAGTTGCTCTGAGAAGCGAGGGGGGAGCTGGTGCAGAGGGAGCTGGGTCCCAAGCAAGCATGGTCAGGACTGGGGTGCGCAGGAGCCCAGCTCCTGGTACTCCTTTCAGTCTCAGCAATGCCAATGAGAAAATTCCTGATGGATGCTGAGCTCTCTTTGACACCTCCTGATGTCTGACCACAAGCACCACCACACAGGCATGACTCCTCCTTACCAGGAGCTGGGGAAAGGGTGACTCCACGGCTTCATCCCAGCCCAGTGTCCAGGAGCTCTGGCTTGGCTATGGCCATGCTGAGGTACACTGGGTTCACAGCACTCTACCAGAACGCAGGGGAAGTAATTACATGCAAGTGTCAGAGGAACTGAAAGCAGTGGGGAGCCCTTCCTCAGGCTTCCCTGGGTTTGTTACCCTTTTGGTGGTCAAATTTGGATAAAGAAAAACATCTTGATGCACAAGAAGTGCCTAAGCAAAACCATCTCACATTGGTCTCTGTAAATGTGGTCAAGGTTGGTGTTTCCTTTAGCTGCAGTGCTGCCCCTGAGCACCCCTGTCCCCTCTGGGATGACAGTCTTCTCCTCCAGCTTGCTGTCCGGATTTCACGCCCCTTTTTTGGCAAAGCCCAGTTCCAACCAGTCACTCGGAAAATGCTCTCCTGGCAGCAACACCCTTCCTTCCCCAGACCTGCCCCACCTGTAGCACCTGATCCCCACTGCCAAGAATAAAGCTCAGTGCTTTAACAGAAAACAACCTTCTCCTTTCAGAGCTGGGTCATAAACCTGAAACGCTGACAAAGGTTGTTAGATTACACCTGTATAAACAGGCACTAATCAAAAATATGCTCCATAAACATCAGCTTTCAAAACATAGCTCTGTAGTGCTGATGAGCACAGAGACTGTTTATTTATCTATGGGTGAACTTGCCGATTTACCCCGTAAGTCCTTAAATAAAGGCACTGCCTGCCTTTCTTTTTTTATTTCCTTCTCTCCCGTTTTTCCTTGAAGCAAAACCATCCGGAGTGTGGTTGGGTGGCCTCGGCAAATGCCCCGGTGACAATCTCATGAAGAGTTACAAACCACAAGCTGTCGGCACAGGGGACAATAAAGCTCCTGCTCCATCTCAGGTGACCTTTAATGCCAATCCACTCAGTGCCCAGGATCCCACAGCTCCCGTGCCACGCCGGCGCTAAGAGGATGAAGCCTCAGAGAAGCTGAATTCTTTTTGTTGCTGCCAAGCCTGTTTGTCTCCTTCCCTGCCCTTCCGTTCTTTGAAAGCAGTTGCCATCATGACACAGTATCTCCATCTGGCAGGGTGGATCCACCCAGAGCCATCAAAAAAGAAGTGAGTCAACGCTAGAGATTTAAAGAAGTATTGTGAGACTTCATTTCAAGCTAAGGAGATTGCTTTTAAATAGCTCCCTTTACAGTATTAAACCCGAGGCAGTTGCACAAACGCAGCACAGCCTGCAGACCTCCTATCCTTACTGCCTTTCTACAACCAGCCAGCCATTCTGGTCCCCAGCAGTCACTGCTGCCCACTCCAACCTCCGAGTTGCAGCTCCAGTTGCCATACAGGAGCCAGTCAGTCGCCACTGGTACACATCCCAAACTTGTCTCAAATTTTCAAAGCTTAATGGCTCTTCCACCACGTCCCTGCACACCAAGACTGCTTCCGTGCCCGTTCTGCCAAGGAAAGCAACAGGCACCGGCATCATGGAGCAGCAAATTCCCTATCCCATCCCCAGGGACCACCAGAACGTGACACTGGCAGAGCAGGGGGAATCACTGGATGCAGCGAGGATTGCCAAGTTCTTCAGGTGGTATCTCAGTGTTCGGGCAGCTATGCCAAGCTTTTCTGCTGGGGTTCCTGATTTCAAACCAAAGTCATCTGCGGTCCCGGTAATTAGTGTCACTACAGCAACATCACTGTGTTATGCAAAGAAAGTTCATCTAGATTCCTAGCACTCAGTACATTAAATGACTGCAAACATCTGATGATGTCTGAGGGGTGCTAGTGCTCCCTGTCATTAGGTTTAATGAGCAGAAATAAGCCTTGGCCAGATCATGTCCACCAACAGCTGGAGAATCTCCAGTGGCTATAACGGGCACAACCTTGGAGGTCTGAGTTTCTTCGGTGCCGGGTTACATACCTGAATGCAGGTCCCAGTACACTCCTTGCAGAGGCTGCAGGACAAAGCCCATCTGCTTGCTGGGATATGTGAGATCTTCGTAATGGGTTCCATTTTTTCAGGACATCCAATGCTAACCTGGTCAGAAAATAAGAGGACAAGCTGTAAATGCTGGTTACCATCCCAAATCTCCTACGGGGGGGGGTGTCTGTGGCAGTCTGAATGAGGGATAGATTTTTTATTTGTTATTTCTCAGCGTCACTTGCAATTTGAAAAAAACCAACCAACCCAAAATCCACCAACCAGACAAATCTGGATGAAATGAAAGGAAAAAATTATGTTGGTGTTTCCGCTGAACTAATTCCTCATCTGGATTTTGCTGTGTCTCTCAGATGGGCACATCAGTTTAGCTTTACCTTGCCCAGGCAGGTCCTGTGAATGCCACACACCCCTCCACCACCCCACCTCTGTGTCTTCCCTTAACAGCGTGCCGCATGGCTACTAATTAAACACACGGCCTGATGACTGACCATCAGGGCTTGACGAGCCAAACTGAACTTGCTACTGCGACCATTAATGAACATCCTGGGCTGAGACCTGGAAATCAGGTCTGTGCCCACCTGTGCATCAAAAGGAGTCTGGAAAAGGTCTTACTTCAGGTATCCATAAGGCACAGCTAACGTGGACCCATTTCGTCCCGCTCCGGGTGGGCTTCAGCGCTCCCCCTCTCTTCGGGCACAGTAGACACTTTGGCTGAACCCCGAGGGCGCAGGTCCGGCACAGCCAGCTCCCGATGGGGACCTTCAGGATGCCGTAGCATGCCTGTGCAGACAGAAGGGAGGTGGGTCAGTCTCAGCAGCCCGGAAGGAGCATCCCAGAGCACCTTCTCCTTCCCTCACACCTTTTTCCCCACGGCTGGCTTATCGCCCCTGCAGATGGACATCCCAATGAACAGCAGGGGTGAAGCAGCTCCACAATCACAGCCAGCCAGGTTAAGTTCTTCCTTTCTTGCTACCTTCTCTATTTTCATTTGGATACTCATGCCAGATCAGTATGTCCTGGGTTTTAATTAAAAGCTAAGTATAGAAACATGCTGTGCATCATGCCAAGCATCTGCCTGGCTTTGGGTTGTTGGGAAAAAGCAACCAGGCAGCTCCATCAGAGCTTCAGCTCATCTCCTGCCTGTTCCTGACCAGCTACCAGGACTCAAAGATGTAAGAATGGGGCATGGTGGTGTTGGGTTGACAGCTGGACTTGACCTTAGAGGTATTTTCCAACTTCAGTGATTCAATGGCTCTAAAAAATGCCACACGGAGAAAACCTCTGAGGTAGCTGAGGGCTGAAAAGCCATAACCTCATGATTGAGAAAGACGGCCACACTGGTTACACACCCGACACAGCCTAAAGGGGAAGCGAAAATAACTACGGAAAGGTAAAAAGGGGAAGCTGATAGTCATGAATATAAATCAGAAGGGAGGAACTAAAAAGGACAATAAATCTAAAGCAGGCAAGGACAAGCCTACGGCCAAGGGAGTGAGAACGGAGCTCCCTGACCTGCTGCGATAGTGCAGAATGCAGCAAAGCCAAAGTGTTTCATAAATATTTCTCTTTCTGTACTTGGGGAAGAGCCAAACGATAAGCTATATCACAAAATGATGATGATAAAATACTTTCCTCTTCGGCTGTAACTTACAACTGTATTAAACAGTTACTGCTAAAACTAGACAGTTCTTAACCATCAGGTCACAGTAACTTGCACTTAAAGGGTTTTCAGAGAGTGGCAGACAACTGCCTTGGGCACTAATGTGGGGTTGTGTCACTATTTTAAGCAAGGCGATGTAATTAAATCTAGATCTGGCTGCTCTCATGTCCCTCCAGAAGGCAAATGGGCAGAGCTGACAAGGACCCCCAGTGCTGCTGGCTGTAAACTGAGCCCAGGCATTTGTCAACACCACTTCTTGAAGCTTACACCAGAAAAGGAACAGCTTTTTTGTCCTGCTGTCACCATCACCGCGAGTGACAGTGCTGCAAGTGGGGACAGGGCAGAGGGGGCAAGCAGAGATGCACAAGCATGGGAGAAGTGCATCCTCAGTCTTTGCTGTCCAAGAACAGACTTTCTAACATGACTTTAGGCTGCCCCAAAGGACAAATTGACTCAGATAGTGATTTCCAAGAGGGAAAAAGCCACTTCGTGAACAGATTATTGGGATAATAAGGAATTAAGGGAGGTAATATTATTGCTGCATGGTTCAGAAAGACTTAACTCTGTGTTTCACACCACCTCCAAATCCGACAGTTTACACTTGTGCAACAGTTTTATAAAACATCTGATTTAGTACCAGACAAAAATCAGCCTGGTATGCACTAGAGAAGAATAAACTGGCAGTGATCTCAAAATCCAGGGGAAATATGACCAGGTGTGCATCTCTAGTGGAGTCTTGGCTCCTGGTTATTTATTCGTAAAGGTTTTAGAGCAGCTGAAGGTGCAATTCTGCTCCTAAGAGCAAATACTACAGAGTGTCTGTCCCAGACAAGGAGCAGCTCTGGAAATGAAGTGGGTTATAAGCAAAATGCTCTCTCCCAGTCCAGCACCAGCCAGAAGATGCTCTGGGAACACAGAGCCAGAGCAATGCTGAGCAGGAGAGCAGCTATTTTTACTGCTGCGCCTGTCACAGGTTCAATGTCATCGAGACAGGGGCGCTGAAAAATTGGGGAGGGTGCTGAGTCACAGAAAAGCTTGGTGTGGTCCATGTAACAGAGGCAGGGCTCGGCCGTGTCCTCACACCAGGGAGTGGGAATTTGGTAACGCCAGGAGCACAACGCGGGTACTGGAAGCTGGAGATGGATTATTCCTGTGCTAAACAGAAGTGTGACACTGCAACTGCGAGAGTGACGAACCACAACAATTTAGCAGTGGGAGAGAAGATTTCTCATCACTGAAAATTTAAAAATTAAGATTGTATGTGTTCTCTAAAAGCCACGCTTCATAGGAATTAATTAATAGCAAGCCTCATGGCTTGTGTTACAGAGATAAGATGATTACAATGAACCCTTCTGGCACCGTAACCCACCAAGGTGTGCCTGAGCACAGCCCTGTCTCTGCCTCTTCCTGTGGGGACGCAGGAATATGAGGGGCTGAGGCCACCTCGAGCAGCACCATTGCTGAGGCTGTGTCCCTGGGGACCCCAGTACCCTCCACCGCTGCCTGAACACACAAGGCTCATGGCAGAGGCACCCATGTCCCCCCAAGAAAGCATCGTCCCCATTGGGACACAGCCCATGGTGGGCACAGCTGGGGCCTGCACAGCCCCTCCGCAGCCTTGCGCTCGCTGACCACCTGCCCCGAGCCCCCACCACTGGCACCCGTCAGCTCACAGCCTGGCAGTGCCGCTTGGGCTTGTAAAAAAAAATATCAACACAAAAACGTCCAACTTGAACCCTGAATTGTCCTGGTATTATATGGAATCTGATTCACTGATGGAAACCATTCAAAACGCCCACCTCCCGCAACTATAGATATCTCCAGTGCTCTCCCACCTCCAGAAAGCGCTGATGGAAAAGCTGCCCACAAGATGAGCAAATGGCTCTCTTCAGAGGAAAAAAACAAAACAAAACCCAAACCCTTCACAGAGAGTGTGAAGCCCAGGAGCTGCCACTGCCACCCCAGCACTGCACAGTGCTTCCCCTCAAAGCATGACCAGCAAAACCCTCCCTGGACCCACACAGGACCCAGGGAGACCCTCACACGGCTGCTTTCTCCTTGTCAAGGTTTCCCCAAGCACAGAAGTCCACACACCGCCCCAGCAAGGGCTTGAAGTATTTGCATTCAATTCTAAAAATAAAACTATTTGCCTTCTGGCAGCAAAATAAAGGACTATCCTACACTTACACAGCAGGGACAGAAATCCTGTGATGTGAGACAGTGACAGGGGAGCTGGAAGGTCCCACTATCCCCAGTATGAAGGACTGGAGGTCCACGCAAGCCCACCCCTCTGGTGAGTGCAGGGCTGTAGACCTGCATCCCTCCCAACCTACAAGCCAGTCCCACACACAGTAGTGGTCACACCCGGGTGCTACAGAGCCCAGTGTTTTATCAAGAAAGATGGGGTACAAAAGACAAATATGCACATTAATGGAAGAGGAGGTATAAAATAAAATATCACAGAGACCAGAGATTAAGGAAGAGGGGGCAAAGCAAGCTTGCAGGAAGTTTTCAACCTCCAGATGTGCGTTCCTCTGGGTACTTGTGAAGGGTTGCGGCTAAGGAAGTTAGAGATGCAAGTCTGCCATCTGCCAGCCACCCCAAACCCCATTTGCTATCCTCAATCCGCTGGGAATTCATCAGAAAAGCTTAACTGGGGTCTAGAGCAGCTCAGGGTGCAGGGGAGGAGAGGGGAGGAACCCCGAGGAGGGTACAGGAGCATGATGCACAGCCAGCCACGACCTGCTGCTCTCCCTTGTCCCAGCGGGGCTCACCTGGTGCACGCAGACGTTGCACTTGTCACAGAACACCATCTCGTTGCCGTCCTCTCCCTCCGGCGAGCGGCAGACGTCGCACACCACGTCCTCGTCGTACTCGATGCCCAAGCCCTCCTCTGTTTCGATGGCGATGTTCATGTTCTCGTAGCACATGGTCTCCAGCTCCTCCAGCACTCGCTCCAGGGTGATCTCATCCAGCTCGGGCTTTTCTGCAAGGCAGAAGGCAGAAGAGGACACTGATGCAGCTTCCGCCTGCCTTTGGGGAGCGTTTTGCAAAGGGCTGAGCATTTTAGATTGCAACTCAAGAGGTAAATCCATGGCGACAGTACGAGCGGCGATTCAGAAAACGGCTGCTTCGAACTCGGGATGCAGTTTATGTTTCATAGACAGTAACAAAATATTGCTGCTGGCTGAGAGGAAAGAAACCCATTCAGCTGAAGCAATGCGGATAATTAGGTCTGACAGTTTAAATGTTCGAGGAGACAAGTTTTGCAAAGATGCTTTCTGCAGAGAGGGCTCAGACAAGCTTTGGCAACACAAAGTCAATGTTTTAATTGTTAAGACTGAAAATTGACCCTTTTAAAGCCAATTAAACGGAACTGTAAAATTGAAGCCAAAGGCTGAAACTAAGGACAAATAAGGGTTTTTTTCCTGGTTGGGTCTAGTGGAATCAGAAGGTCAGACACTGCTGTGTTGTGTTTCATTCCCCCCATACCAGGACTGTTGCTGGGAAGAAGTGACAGATGTGCTTTAACAGAGGTTTGACAATCAGGAATATGAGGCCACTAAACAGGAGAGAGTTTTTCAGAGCAGCAGCCTCCAGCAGCAGGATACCTGGCGTTACAGGGGGATGCAGCTGCCAGGGGCTCGGCAGCACCAAAATGGTGCCATGTCAAACGCTGCTCCCAAAGGTGCTGCCTCTCACCCACCCACAAAGATCCTGATGCCACAAATGCAACATGAGGTCACTCCAGGGAAGGAAAAAAAGAAGGAAAAAAATCTGCCAGCAGCAGGAGAGAGGTTCTCTGCGAGGGGTAAGAGGCAGAGTTAAGTCCCCACCACACCCCATCTCCCCATGAGCTCTACTTCATCACTGGGGAAGGCACGGAGATGGGGATGGAGATACCAGCAGGATGCAATAAAAAGCATTCCATCTTTGCATTTCAGTTGGGTATATTATCTGTGATAATGCCCAGGATGCTCCAAAACATGCCAGACAGCAGAGGAGCCTGACCCACACTGCTGTCCACCTTTCCTGTTGTAAGGTAACAGGAGAAAATCTCTCATTTATGAGCAGAGGGAAAAAAGGCTTGATGAAGAACTAATATGAGGCACTCATTAATTAATGTTCATTTGCCAATCCGAGCATCTCTTGAGATACAGTGTGACATCCCTGTCCCAATCCAAGTTCTGGGGCCCCCACAGACCCCTGGGGCTGGGGAGGGCTGGGGCATGGGGGTCCTGGGCACCGCTCCCAGCTCCTCTGGCTGGCCAATACAAGTAGAGGCTGCACCTTTCCCCTGCGGCCATGCACTGGCTGAAAAAACGCTGTCAAGGGGGAAAGCAGCCCGTAGGCAAGCTCGGCAAGCAAACACACCATTGTCTGCCTTTTTAAGCTCTTCCCCGATGTTTTGCTTTGGCACGGGTTCCCTTGGCTTGACAAGTCTCTGCAAACATCTAGCCTGGCATTTTACATGTCTGTGTCGAGTCTGAGATACCATCTAAGACAGACAACACTGTTCCCTATCGCAGCCCTTTCAAGTGCTCGGGCTGCTGTGCCGCAACACGCCAAGGAACCTGGCAGTACCTGTTTTTATTGCCCAGCAGCCCTGGCTGGCATAGGCTGCCCGGGGGCCACTGGAGCTCAGTGATGGGAGAAGCATGCATCGGCATGGCAAGTCCTGGAGCCGGGACGGAGTCACCGGCTTGGCTCTTGGCATTGTGCTGGTGCAATACAACAGGGCAGGGGGTGCACTGCAGGCAAAGCTAGAGTATTACTTTTGACTCTCTTTATGTCTTTTTTGTCTCTTTATAAATATGTCCGTATGCCTTTCCTGTCTCTTTATAAACACGTCACCTGCGTTGCACTAGCTGGATGGAGAGCTACAAGCCATGATTTCACGTGAGCGTTAAATAAGCTCTCAGTCAGCGTTTCAAGTCCACATCTGTGACTCTGATCCCAGGCACTGCAGGACCAGTCTGGAGTTACTGCCTTTCTCCCAGCATTTCAGGCTCTGCTTTCTCCGCTCATCGGGAAAGAAAGTTGACCATTAAAGTGTTTCCAGTGCTTTTCACCATGCGCTTTCTAGAGCTGCCCAGTGCTCAGGGGAGCAGGAAAGGCAGGGGGGTTTCCACCAGAATCATGACCATGGGGTCGGGATCGTGCCTTCCTCACGCTGGCATCTCCACCATTCCCATTTCACCTCAAGCAGAAGGAGCCAGCTCCCATCTCACCTCCTGCATTTTCTATCCACAGTGATGCCTCACCATCACCAGCTTAACCCTGGGGAAAAAGTCCCCATTGATCCCAAAACTCTCACGCTGGAGCGCGACCAGCACCCCAGCTGGGTTTCCTTGTCAGCCTACATGCAATGTAGTTGTTATACTATTACATCGAAAAATATAGATCTCTCCCTCCTGCACGCACACACGCGCACTCTCACACTCCATTTAGATGTAATTACATTAGGAATTCGTTTGCCAAGCGCCATTCAGAATACCTCGGAGCTTATTGAATTGACAATTGCACTTGATGGGGATGAAGCGATTAATCGTTTATGAAACACTAAACAATGGGACCTGGGGGTGAAGTGCTTTTCCATTTGTGCTCCATTTATCTCCTTCTGCATCATATAAAGTTTGTGCTATTAAACTCCATTCATAAAATTGTCATCTTTTTGGCTGCAAAAATGCTACCTGGATTGATCATGACCAGCTAAATAGCAAACCCAAAAAATACTCCACCAGAACACTCCCTGTGTACATGCACAAGTGACACCGTTACGGTCCCCAGGGAAGGAAAAGCAAAGATCCAGATACTAATCTTGGCTACAATGACAGTGACATCCAGGGAGTAAGTCACACTTGAGACCATCATCAGCACCGTGGACTCTAACCTGCCGACCAAGAGAAACGCATTTTTACCTGGTTAAGCTATGCCAGGATCTTGGATGAAAGGTAGGGAGTTAACAAAGCTTTTCTGAGCCTCTGCAGGGAAACACAGCATAGCTGCAAACTTTCTCCACAGTTTCTGTCTGGAGCGACATAGGCAGAATTGAGAATTTAATCTCACGCCAATATAATAAGTTGCACCAAGGGATGTTTAGATTGGATATTAGGAAAAATTTCTCCACCGAAAAGGTTGCCAAGCACGGGAAGGGACTGCCCAGGGAAGTGGTGGAGTCATCATCCCCGGAGGTATTTAAAAGATGCATAGATGTGGCACTCAGGAACATGGTTTAGTGGTGGAGTTGGGAACACTGGGTTAACTGCTGGACTTGATGATCTTAGTGGTTTTTTCCAGCCTAAATGATTTTGCGATTCTGTAATCACAAGCAATCTGGAGCCACATTCAAAACACTAACGCAGGAGTCAAAGGCTCTGTGTCCCAGCATCCCTTCCAGGAGGCTATCCGCATCCTCTCCCCATTAACACCAAGCGTGTTAACGATGACTGGTTTTGAAGGGACACCCCCAACATCGTCCTGCGATGGGAAGGATTGTCTACCACTGTATCCCAGCTGGAGAAAAGCTACCCTCTCCCATCCCAGAGCAGGATGCTGGCATGCAACGGGTACCCAGCCAAAAGAAGCATCCCCAGAGGAGAAGGGGGACTTTTTTGGAAATGGAGGAGGAGAAGAGGTGCCAGACAATGATGCACTACAGGAGGTCTCCAGATCTGATTCAGAAAGGGAAAATACGTAAGAACATGGCCTTTTGTTTGAGCTTTGCTCCTAGCAGAAAACTCTTCTCTAGATCTCTGCTGTCGGGGTCTGTCACAATCCCTGCAGCTCTGCAGCAACCAAAGCATCTCCGTTATCCCTGGGGGCTCCTGAGGCACCCGCCCCAACTCCATGCACCTCAGCTCCCCCGAAACCTTGAAGCAACTGCCCATGTCACAGCTGAAGCACAGAATTTAAGTATTTTATCCCAAAGGAGCTGGGATTGCTGGGCTGGCACCGAGGCCACAGCGCTGGGTCTGGAATAACCACCAGGCACATTCCTTTACACACCACCACTCTCCGTTATAATTATGTCTGTAATATTGTAATTTATGTGGCATGAAGGAGCAATATTCTTCTGCTAAATGAATTCTCAGCTACTCCTTGTTGAGCCGACTCACTGCATGGGGAGAAAAAAAAATAGCTGGAGAGCCACCTTTCACAAAACAGAGACCTATTTCTGACTAAACTGTGCTCCACTAAAATCAATTTACTGAAACAATAAATCCTTTTACCCTGTGGAGCATACCTGGAGACAAAACAGCTCATGCACAAACTGTCATCCTGACTGCAGGCTGTGCCATTAGCTGATTCACGAGCTAAAAACCTTGGAGTCTACTTTTCAGTAAAAATATATACAAACAAGCAAAATTGCTGGGTTTTTTTAATACAAAAAGGAAAGCACTTGTGAGATTATGTAGGTTTGTTTGTCCCTTAGTATCTTTGAAAAACAGCAGCTCCTTGATGAGACGGGGTATTCACGGCATGGGGATGATGGGCTCCTGCCACCTCCTCCCAGCTCACTGACCGTCCCCGCCCTGGCTTGCCCTGGGTGAGTCACTATAAACCCAACTGCTTCGGCTTCTGCCTCTGAACAGGGCCAGGAGCTGAGCACCCACACGCTCAAGGCACCCATGGGGACAGCAGCCACCCCGTCCCAAGCCTATGTGAAGGCGAGGGGATGATGGACCACCCAAACACCACACCAGACCACTGGGGGCTCCCCCAGCCACCTCTAAGCCATCACCTGCAGGCACACAAGGCTTGCAAGATGCAGCCATCGCACATTAATCTGTTATTTATAAACAGACCCTTAACATAAAGCATGAGCAACAGAACAGACGGCAATACGCAACCTGTGCGAGCCGAGCATCCACAGAGAAACCTCAAGATGTTTTGCTGCAAACACAGCCTGCTAATGCACTTAAAAGATTTACAGGAATCAATTGCCATCCTTTCTGCCACCCACCAACATCAATTATTTTCAAA